CGCTGCCTCGCAGATAGAAATGATCAAATGAAGTCAAGACAAGGATCAAGCCTCATAAAAATCTTGCCCGCAGCAAGTACCAGCAAAAAAGCGAGCCGTGCCAAGGCGGTGCGCGGGCCAAGCCGAGACAGGGGTTGTGCAACCGCCCAGCAGGGGTGGAAATCTCTGACAAACACAGGGGCCGCGTTGGAAATGGGAGCATCGAAAGGAGGCCTCATAAAAAAAAAAAAAAAAAAGTCATTCGGATCGTTGGCTCATGTGAACCTGGAAAACCGCGCTTTCTGACCTCCCGTGTGTTGTGTTTTTTTTTTTTTTCTTCCTGTGTCAAGCCCGGGATAAAATAGATTTTCCATTCTCGGGTTTTCTGGGTTGGTCACTTTGGCTCGAACCTGAACCGAGCTTTCAAGCGGTTGCATCAGACCAGAATGTTCCACGTGTTGCCTCTGCCCGGTGGCAGAGAAAGGTCCATTCTTGGGCTCAGGGGACCTTCACCGGAGGCCTACTATGTGTCAGGTCCTCCTCAGCCAGGCTCTGGCGAAGGCAGGAGGTGAGTAAGACGCAGCCACGCCTGCAGGCCGGGCCTGGGATGAAAGAAGATGGTCTGAGAAGAAAGGCTGGGCGCCAGGGGTGTGGGGGGGCCCCCGGGGACCCACCAGCGGAAGCTCTTAAGGTGAGGGCTCCCATTAACCAGCGCAGTGGCTCTGGCTAATGAGAGAAGCCATTGAAGTCTGGGTTCTGATCTCTTCCTGTTCACCCTGCTGCTGGCGCAGAAGGGACCCCACCCGGAGAAATACGAGGTGATTGACACCTGCCACCTGCCAGTGGACAGAGGAGCCGGGTAGCAGTCTATTGGTCACATGTGCTCACAGCCTGGGCGGGAGGGCCGCGTGGAAGCAGGGTGCACTCAGGAGCGGAGTGAGCCAGCAAGGACTCTGGGGTGCAGGCTGTGTCGTAACAGGAGGGTGAGAGGACCCTGGTTCCTGCAGGCGGAGGAGCTGTGCTTGTTTGAATGACGGTGTGGGCTGGCAGGGACATGGCACCTACTAGGGTTAGGGCCCGGTGGGCGTGGCTGGTCTGGCTGACAGGGGAACTCGCCGGGGACGGGCATGCATGTCTGCTGAGAATGGGAGGTCATGGTTAAGACTCTGGGACCCTGGGAGGATAGCGCAAGGAGCCCGGCCCGTGTGGCTCAGTGGGTTGAGCGTCGTCCCAGTGGGAGGTCATGGTTCAAGCCTGCAACCTGACTGGGAATTGAAGGGTGACCTCCTGGTTCATGGGTCAACGCTCAACCCCTGAGCCACACCGGCCGGGCTGTTTATGTTTTTTTCTTTTCTTTTTTTAAAAATATATTTTATTGTTTTTTTACAGAGAGGAAGGGAGAGGGATAGAGAGTTAGAAACATCGATGAGAGAAACATCGATTCAGCTGCCTCCTGCACACCTCCTACTGGGGATGTGCCCGCAACCAGAGTACATGCCCTTGACCGGAATTGAACCGGTGGAGAGAGATCATGATCTCATCTATAAGGGGTAGATGTGGGTGGAATATTCGGCGATTTGTGAATGCAACCCTGTTTTAAAATGTTTGTTTTTATTGATTTCAGAGAGAGAGGGAGAGGGAGAGAGAGAGAAAGATCAGTGATGAGAACATGGATCAGCTGCTTCTGCACATGCCTACTGGGATGAGCCCGCACCCCGGGCACGTGCCTGACCGAGAATCAAAC